TGTTTTCATTCCCTATTTAACCCCATGCTTGTGCTGCAATAAACAAGACTTGATCAGAGCACTGTCTTGTCTCCATTTCTCTTGTCTGATTGCCCCATCCAAATCCCCACTCCCCAATCCAGGTACCCCGCTGCAGTTCCCGTGCGGCGGGACAAAGCATGACCCACAACGGTATTCCAGAACACTTATTCCATACAACTGAAGGCTCATATTTTGTTAAATAAGTTTCCATCTCTTGTGTTAAAGATGTTACAGGTTGACTGACTGATCAGAACTTCTGTGACTGTGGAAACATGAAATGCTGCAGGTCCCAAGCCAAATTATCTAAGGCTATCTTCAGCCCCCTTAATAGCCATTACTGCCCACTTCTGTGTTTGGCCTAACAGCCTTGAGACTATCAGGCAAAATACTCTGGAATGCACAAATAGACCAGTTGCTTTCACCAACCAAAGTCAGAACATCATCAGAACATCATCAGGTAATAACTGAGGTCTACAGCAGAGACTTCCTATATCTGATGTTCTTGAAAATGTATTCTTAAAGTTCTTTGATTTATGTTTTTCTTTGTTCTGTTAGGCCTGCTAAGGTGGGACTTACAGGTCTCTTCATTTATTAAGGAGATCCTTGATCAGCTACATCACCAGCCCTGAAAATGCTCTGATCTTTGAGATTGTCATTTTAAAAAAATGCAAATCACCTACCCCCAGTCTGTCACAGTTTTTTTTTCTTATACACAATGAATGTTTCTTATATTCTGAATAGTAGATTAACTAGATTAATAAGGCATATGTAACAGAAGTAATAAAAACAGTACAGAGCTGCACAATGAGACCTTGAAAAAGAAAAAAAAAAAAAAAAACAAAAAACTCAAAACAGTTGAATAGTTGAGCATGGTATTTCAGGAAACCGGAATAGTGTTCCCAGGCCATGGTCAAATTATCCCTTTTAGGTGAGAGCTGTGTTTTTGTACTGACAGTTTACGCTTTATGAATCACAGGAATATTTATGAGTTTTATTCATAATAGCCTCCAACTAGAAACGACCTAAACACCCTTCAAACAAAATGTGATACATGGATACTTTGAAGTACAACTCGATGAACTATTGATATTTACTAGATTGATCTCTAGAGGTTAGCTGTATTTCCCCCAAAAAATGACTTATAGAGATGAAAAAATTCTGGAAATGAAAAATTATTCAGCTGAATGTGGGTCGTTTACCACTGTAACCTCAGCACTCAGGAGGCTGAGACAGGAAGACTGCTGACGGTTCAACAACAGTCTAGGCTACACAGTGAATTCCAGCATGTCTGGGCTACAAAATGAGACCCTATCTCAAAATAAAATACTTACTCATTATCTGGATTAACATTAAGAAGGTAGGAGGAGACAAAGTGGGTGCAGTTATAAAAAGCTAACAGAGATCCTTGTGATAGGAAGGTCTTCCAGATTATGAAACATATCTATATTGTGCTGTCTTTTGCCACATAATGAGGAAGTGTCAAAGCTACAGAGGCCCTCACAATTCTTTTACAATGTGTAAGAATCTACAATTACCTTAAAACGGAAGTTTATAAGTGATATGAAAGTAGAAGGGAAATATTTGGGTTGGAAAGCGTTAAGCAGGGATGACAAAGGAGGGATAGAGGAGAGGAGTTGGGGGAGAGGGTTAACCAAAACTTAGGAGATATGAAAAAGTCATATGGAAACCTACTACTCTGTAAATTAAAAATCTTTATCAATGGAGGTACCATACATCAATGGACAATGCTTCTCCTAGAATCCATAGGTTATTAAACAAAAATCCCAGTGCCACTATAAGTTGTTGGCCATGGAGTCCTCAGAGTCCCCCACTCCCCCCAAAAATACACATTGCCATTGTTCTTGGTTCCCCTCTAGAACTGAATGGTAAGGCCCTATTGCTAAAAAAAAGTCACACATTTTGGTTTCAGGATAAATAGAAATCAAGAAGAAGCTGACCTGGAAACCTCCTCCTTGATAGCTAGCTTTCATCATGCCAGAAGGTGCTACAAGGCTGGCCAAATGGATGTGGTGTCAAACAGTCTTCTAAATATCTATGTTTATACCCACAGTGTTGCTCTCAGCCTTGGTCAGAGAAGCCTGTTTACAATGGGCAGTAGTTAGTGCAGAGACCTGTAACTGCCCCCCACCCCCATAAAAGCAGAACAAGTGACAAATCAAGTACTCAGCCCTCTATAGGAGATGTGTATCACCCCACTCAAGGCTCAGGGATCACAGCAGGAGAGGGTAGAAACAAAGAACTTGAGGATGAAGAGGAATATTGTAAGATACTGTGCCCTGGACATGACATGCTTTTTTGTACTCATGAAATCACAGCGGCTGTGGTTACCTGCACAAGATAAGAGTCTTACCTATCAAAAAGAATGTCCAGTGTCAGGTATGGGTTACTTCTTTTCAAGTTGTTGGTCAGTGGAGTCCCAGAGACTCCTCCAAACATTACAGGCTATTGCCACTGACCTTGGTTACCCTCCAGAAATTTTATAAGACCCTCCCTACTGCTGATGACACATTACCCAAATCATGGAAAACATGTAGAAATCAAGCTAGTACTGACCTGGAGGCTTCATCCCTACTGGCTAGCTTTCATAATGCTGGAATGTTCTGTGTACACTACCAGGGGAGACAAGTCATCAATAGTATTATCCAGCTGTAAACCCTTCAAGCTACAATAATGAAAGGCTTCGCATATAAGATATGCACATTGGTATAACAGCTGCACAAATGTTGTGGAGCAACCAACCACTTTCTGTTTGGATTTAAAGCCTCTCCACAAGATGGAACCCATGCCTGGCGTCAACTGGGTCCAAAACCTATAGCTGGCTAGGCCCTAGAGAACCTACTACTATTATTCTGCTAAGTGGATATAGATTCATGCATCTCTCAACCCTCATCAGAGAAGCTTCTGCTTTCAGTGGATGGCAAATAATACAGAGACCCACAGACAGTCAACATGAAAAGAAAAATTAACTGTGGAATGCTCATTTCTAATGGGACATCGTATCACTCTCCCTCCCCCCAAGGCTCAGGGAACATCTCAAAAGGAGGGGGTGGGCAGAAAGATTATAAGAGCCAGAGGGAGTGCATATCTGTAGCAAAACAGAATTTGCTGGACATGACAGTGCAGGCGTACACATGAACTCATAGAAACTGGGACTACAAGACCTGAACAAGATCAAGCCAGCCAAAATCCCAACATGGGTGGGAGAGGGTATCATGAAGTTTCTCCAGCAGCTAAGGAGCTACTGGCAATTGATGGCTGCTGTGGGAGTGAGAGGTTTTTTTTTTTTTTTTTAGGTGCCAAGAGGCTACACATACTCCAGTAGAAGGTCCCACACCCATGCATATACAGACAGCCTAAATTAACTAAGTAGATATTATATATAAAAAAAGGAAAACAGAACTATGGCTTACTATCAAGTGAGATAGATATACAAGACATTTGAGGGAAAGGTGATAGGGAGGAAAGGGGAGGGTTTGGAGAAGAAGGAATATGGTGTGGATTTGATGCAAACACACATGCATATATAAATATTAAACTTTAAAAAGACTGGGCCCCCTCTGCATTCCATCATGAATAGAGGAGTCTGGGAGGCCCCACCCACCGCTGAGCACCCACTGGCAGTTAATGGTTATGGGGGAGTGAGAGAGAGTAATCTTCTACAGTGGTGTGGCCACTGGTTAGTTGCCCATGCTCCAATAAGTAACCCCTAACCCATGCACACAAGCAATCTTAAACTCAGTGGGGCAAAAATTTAAAAATAAATTTAAAATAAATCATAAAGGTAGGTAGGGAACTTACTGAGAAAAAAAGGAATCATCAAGAGTGGAAGGGGGATAAGGGCAATGGGGGGTGTATGGGATCAAAATACAGTATATGATCTGACAGAATCAGTTTGTAAAACACATTTTCCTTGCCAATACTTCCCTCACCCATACGTGTACACAAACATAGTAACTATTAACAGAGGATCCCATACACAAAAAATAATACCTCTCTAAATACATGACCAAATGGAAAGACTTGGACAGAGTCGGAGAGAATCCTTTTCAAGTTTAGTAAAACAAGCCATCTGCCTAGAAGGATCACCCCACCTCTGGGCCTCCAACCTGGACTGTCTCTACAACCTAACCGCCTCATTTTAGGAGCATGCCTAAACCAGTTCTCAAGGACGGCTTTGTGGCCTCGGAAGAACTTTTGATCATACTTTCCAGCCACTGTTTACACTTACAGCATTTTAAATCTCGACAGAGAAATATTTTAAAAGAAACAAAAATACACAGACATATTCCATGAGCCCTCAGAATAGAAATAATTCCACACCATGCAGCACCTACAAAACTCCGCGTACAGACCTGAGATGATGGTATGAGAGGCAAGATTACACCTCAGGATTATGAAAACAATTGTGACCACTGAGAGAACAGAACTATGGCTCACTGTCAAGCGAGAGAGATATACAAGAGATCTGAAAGGCACAAAACACTGGATGAAGCAACGTTCTTTTAATTTCAAATGTGTGTCTGGGGGGGGGCTCAAATCCTAAAGGCTAGCAAACCGAACCACTGCGCAGAAGGGCAAAACCGCAAGCTTTTGAAAAGCCACGGAAGCCACTGCCTGGTTAGCACTCATGGAGTGTACACACTGGAAATCACTACATTGATTACACGGCCAGCTCAAAAACCGTTATGTTGCGAGAGGCCGGCATTCACCATACTTGATTTAACTCTGTGCCTCCCCCCCTCTTTGGCAAGGACCGGGAAGCCTGACCAGCAGAGTTCCCGCAACTTCCAGGCATTCCGGAGGGCGCCTCGGCCGACGCCCGGGGCAGCAGGAAGCCCCCGCTCCGCTGCCTGCCGAGCCCGGTGGCCGCTGGGTCTCAACCCCGCCGGCCCAGCGGTCACCGGGCAGGGCGGGGCCTAAGGGAGCGCCACCGGGACCCCTCGGGGGCGCAGGCTCACCAGCACCTCGTCGGAGGAGGCCATAGCCCTGGCGAGACGCGGCGAAGCGGTGGTCTCAGGACGGCCCCGAACGCACGTCCAGGCTGCCGCGAGAGGCCGGCGCGGCGTAACCGGCGGGGGCGCGGGACGACCCGCAGCCGTTAACGGGCGGGCGGCCTGGGCGGGGCCAAGCCTGGAGGTTGAGAGGACGCGCCACCGACCGCCAGGCGTTTCCCGCGCGAAGAGCGAACCTCTCCGGGGCGTGTCCGTGGACGCTTTAAACTAAAAGTCAGAAAATAGGAAGGGAGACCAGAAAGTTGGAACTTGAGGAGGAAGACGTTAGGTAAAGGCACAGGAACTCCTTAGGTCGCCGCCACGGGCGGGAACGGAGATTGCGGGCCCAGTTGGAGCCCGGAAGTGGGCGGGGCCCCGGCCGTGGGCTGGAGCAGAGATTGCGGCCCCAGCGGAAGTGGGCGGGGGGCGGGGCGAGGCCGGGGGCGTGTCGACACCACTGGGGTGCGGCCCCTGGGAGTCTTCAGAGCCGGAGACTCAGACACCCGAACGGCGATCGTGCGGATCCAAGCGCTCTCCGGGATCTCCTGACACGCAGTCATGGGGTCCGCCTGAGCCGTCGGGACAGAGGAGCAGCGCCGCACTGCATGGAGGGGCCAGCTGAGCCCGACTCGGAGGCGGTCCTGCGCTTTCTCTTGGAGCGCGGAGGCCGGGTCCGACACGCCGAGTTGGTGCAGCACTTCAGGGACGCCCTGGGCGGCCAGCCGGAGCAGCGCGCCCGTGCCCGCGCCCACTTCAAAGAACTGGTCAACGCGGTGGCCACCGTGCGCACCGACCCCGAGGATGGTACCAAGTATGTGCATCTCAAGAAGAGGTTCAGTGCGGGCCCCCCTCCGCTGGAGGCCGCTCGCCCCGCCTACCCGCCGCGTATCGAGGTGACCGCGGAGCCCGAAGCCCTGGACCTCCGGGCGGAGTGGGAGGGCGGCGGGCGCCCGCGGGAGGCGGATCCTCAGACCCCTCTCCGGCTGGGCTGCGAGCTGGGCAACCCGGAGCCTCTGGTCCCTGATCAAGTTGGGGCCCGGTGTGAGGACCCCGGACACGAGGTCCAGGCCCTGTCCGGGCCCTTGGGCCCGGGGCCCAGCGAGGACCTGGAACCCGCTCCACACGGCGGTGAGGAGGCAGAAGGGGGCAGCTCCGGCATGCCCACTACCCCAAAGTCGGCCCGTCAGAACTTCCGGGACCTGGTGATGGGCAGCTCCCCGCAACTGAAGAGGAGCGTGTGCCCCGGGGGCAGTAGCCCTGGGGGCTTCTCCGCCGGGGGTCGCGGCCGGGGAGGGGGCGACTCGGATAGCGCCTCGGTGGCTTCGTCATCCGCGGAAGAGGAGAGCACTGGCGGGGGCTCGGTGACTCTGGATCCTCTGGAGCACGCCTGGATGCTCTCAGCCTCGGACGGCAAGTGGGACTGCCTGGAAGGGCTGCTTTCTTGCGAACCTGGCCTACTGTCCAAGCGGGACTTCATCACTGGCTTCACCTGCCTGCACTGGGCCGCCAAACACGGCCGGCAGGAGCTCCTGGCCATGTTGGTGAACTTCGCTAGCAAACACCAGCTCCCGGTGAACATCAACGCCAGGACTAGCGGGGGCTACACCGCCCTACATTTGGCAGCCATGCACGGGCATGTAGAGGTGGTGAAGTTGCTAGTAGGGGCCTACGATGCCGATGTGGACATCAGGGACTACAGCGGGAAAAAGGCCTCTCAGTACCTGAGTCAGAGCACCGCAGAGGAGATCAAGAACCTGGTGGGAGCCCTGGACGAAGATGATGTGGACAGCACCACCGGCAGCGGGACTGGGCGCTGGAGACTTTCAAAGGTGCTCCCTTCACACCTCATCACTTACAAGCTCTCACACTCTTCGGAGGACAGCGCTGAGCATCACCATCACCACCCTGCTGAGGGATGGACCGGGAGCAAAGCGAAAGATCCAGGTCGCAAAGCCTTGGGCAGTTCTAGTGCACGGATAAAACCGCGACTCAACAAAATCCGCTTTCGAACCCAGATCATTCACACCACTCCCTCCTTCAAGGATGCAGAGCAGCCACTGGAGGAAGGGGAGGAGGAGGAGGGGGAGGAAAGGTCTCTTAAAGGCCTGTCATCCTCCTTAAAATTGAGACCGAAGTCCAATGTATTTGGGTAAAAATAATTCCTGCTAGAAAGGCTAAGGCTTATTTGTCTTCAAGGTAGAACACTAGGTGTGGATAAGAAAGTGGGTGTAGAAAAGGCAGGGTAAGTTATGCGTTTTTACTTTCAGGCTGGGGATGGTGGGTTTGGAGGAACTTCAGAATAAGTTCACCTGGGATGAGTAATTTCTTTACTTAGTGCATTGATTTGTGCCTTTTTCCTCACTGCACACCCTTGTGACCTGGAATTTCTGTTAGCCCTAGAATTGATGACTGAGATTTCCTTTCGTTATTGCTAGGTACCATACAAAATAAGAAATACTGCACTTTTAAGTCTGTTTTTCTTACTCTTAGAGCCCCAGAACATGCAAACTGTAGTGAAACTGGTATTTTGGGAATGTGACCAAAACCACGTGCTGCCCTGATTTTTACTAATTGCATTTGCTTTTTAAGGTACTACTGAATGTCAAAGTCTGAGTTGAAATGCAAAAATATGAATTAAGATCAGAATCCTGTTGGTATCTTATTTGTATTGTAAGTAGCATTTCTGTTCCTTTTTTTTTTTAAAGCAATTTCAGTTTTAATTACTGAACTGAAGAAATAAGAAACATTTGCTTTAGAGTTACTATAGTCTGGTTTGCACCTAGGGAACACTACTTAGTATAATGGTACATTATTAATATCATAACTTTTTTATTGAAATAGAATAATACTTAGCAACCTATGGTACTTCTTAAAAAATGGTATCTTATCATTAGCTTGTTTGCTACTCTCAAATTCTAAACTTCAGGGATTTTTATTCTGGGGACCATATATAAACATCAGTTCTATCTGATGGAGCTTACAGTCCTTAGACTGATTTATTTATTACTTTAAAAACCATTTCTTGCTTAGAAAACTAGCAAAAGTCAGCGTAGTATTAACAAGTTTATGCTTCTATGAAGTAATTATTAAATCAAGTAATGATTCTCATATCAGAAACATTTTTATTAATACACTCATAGCCTCTATGCTTTGTAGCAACATTTTACAAATGTTTAAAATGCTAAATCTTTGAATTTTCCTCTTTTTTTTATATCAACTCGAAGAGCTATGATGTAGTTATTGAAAACCTAGGTAATTGATTCATTTAAAATGGGCAATTTATTGTACTTTATAAAAGGAAAAATGACTATTTCCATATTTCAATGCTGCTAGCTGTTGAATTCTGTTGAATATAAATGACAAATACTATTCATTAAAATTAAAGACTTTGGAGCCTGGAAAGATGGCTCAGTGGTTAAGAGCACTGGTTGCTTGTCAGAAGAGCTGGTTTCATTTTCCAGGATCCACTTGGTGGCTAGCAACTATCTGTAACTCCAGTTTTAGGGACTCCAACTCCCTCTTCTGGCCTCCATGACTTTTTAGCATGTAGTTCACTCAGCATACATGCAGACAATACTTATACACATAAAAGTAATAAAAATTTAAAATTTAAAGACATTTATAACTGATTCTTTTTTTAAAGTTTTTTAAAATTGTTTTGATTTATTTGTTTTTATTTTATGTGTGTGAGTGTTCTGCCTCCCTGTGTGTAAGCACATGCAGTACCTGAGACGGACAGAAGACGGTGTTGGATCCCAGGAACTGGAATTACAGATGGTTGTTAACTGCCATGTGGATACTGGGATTAGAACTCAGATCTTCTACAAGAGCAACCAGGTGCTCTTAACTGTTGAGCCATCTCTTCGGCCCCCTTATAACTGATTCATTTGTGTTAGAGTGATGGTTTCGTAATTATTTTAAAATTAACTCACAAGCCTATTAAATATTGTAACAAGATTAGAAACTTCTTCTGGAGACTAATTGGACCAAATCGCTCCCTAGTCTTTCTGGTCTGATTGCTGAAGCCCTTAGTTGCTACAACCTGTAAGATACAGGACTGAGAGAACAGTCTACAAGTGAAGGAGTCTGCATGGTTGTATAAAGCTGCAGCATTTTGTTCACTAATTTTCCCAAGTCTTAGAAATTTGTAAGAAGTTTGTCACATCTCTCTCAAGATGGCAGTTGAATTTGTTTAAATATGAATTAAAGATAGTCATATGAAATATATAAGATTTGGCTACCAGGATGGGTCAGTGGATAAGATCATTTGTTCTGGAAGCATGAGGACCTGTGTTCGAATCCTCAGAATCCACATAAAAAGCCAGGTATGACAGTGGGTGCCTGTAGCCCCAGCATTGGGAGGTGAGACAGGCAAATCCCAAGAGCTTGATGGCCTGCCAGCTTACCTGAAATGGTGAGCTTCCAGTTCGGCAAAAGACTGTCACCAGTTAAGAAGATGGAAAAGCACAGAGGAAGACACCAGATGTCCTGCTCTGGCCTCAGTAGAGGCACAAATATGCGTGCTCGGACATTCTCATGCACACCACCATGCACATGCACACTTAAGCTATTATTTGTGTGCCTTTGTCTTTGTTTGGGGATTTGAGAAGTGGACCGTGTGTTTTTTAGAAGCACCGTTTTCTGTATATATGGATGAAAAGCCAGTGTAGTTTTGTGAAAATTAAGAACAGGTTCCTTGGGGCTGGAGTGATGACTCAGCAGTTAAGAGCACTGGCCGTTCTTGCAGAATTAAATCCCACCACCCACATGGTCACTAACAACTGTCCATAACTCCAGTTCCAGGGCATCTAATGCCCTTTTCTGTCCTCCACGGGCATACACAGGCAATACACCCATACACATAAAATTAAAAAAAAAAAAAAAAAAAAAAACAGGTTCCTTGAGGTAGAAAGCAATCATTTTTCCATGTCTAGAGATGTTAATTGTTTTTAGTGCAAAATAAGCTACAACTTCCCATTGAAGACTAAAATTCCATAGTATGTAAAGCTAAGTAGATGTTTCAGAATCATGAAGGTTCTGCTGAATAGTCATTAATTTCCTCACATGTGTTAGGAATTAATTGAAAAAAATCTGTAATTTACTAGCACTTTAGATATTGAATAAATACATTTAACTTTCTTTTCAACTGAAGGCTTAGTCTAACTACTCAAAATATTTTAAATTTTCAAGAGTCATTCCTGGGCCAGCAAGATGGCTCGGCAGGTTAAAGCTCTTGCCTTACAAGCCCAACAACCTGAATTCGATCCCTGGAACCCACAGTTGAAAAAGGAGAGAACTGACTCACAGAAGTTGCCCTCTGACCTCCATATGCATGCCATGGCATATGTGTACTTGAATTCATATACACACATTGTACACACACACTAATTTAAAACTTAAAAAGACAAAAAAAAAAGTCATTCCTTATGGGTACTCCTGGCATTCCTCCTGGCACTGTACTTTAGTACGTAGAGCATTTTATACCACTTAACTCTCCATTCCTCTTTTTCAATTTCCAAATCAAGATTATAAAAGAATGAATGAATGATTTATATAATTTCATATTCATAAAGTTGTATCTACTGTTAGAGGAAATACATAAATGCATTTATTGCCATGATACCTTATAGTTTAAAAACTTCATGTGTTTCTTACAGGTACAATTGTAACTAGTGAATGTCACAGTTTACTTTCATGCTATGCAAAATGCAGCTAATTTAGTACTAGTGTATTCATACCTGAAATATTGGTGTCTAGGATGTCTTGTCTTTCGCCTTTGAGCTAAGTGAAAGTTTGTGAGTTTAAGAGTCTGTAAAGTTTGTCAAAATAAAAGGTTCATACTAAATATTGAATTGTCTAAATTCCTGTAGTCCTTTAGTTGTTTTACATGTACGGTGTTTTATGGTTCACAAAATGCTTTTCAAAGTTTCTATTTTACTTCTTTCCTTTCCTGTTCATTAAGGATAATGGCCTACATGTCCCTGATTTATAGATAGGAAATAAAAACTGATGGCTGCTATTCAGGGTCTTAAGAGTCTACCTTTTCACAATATTATCTTTCCTGCACATTAAATTGTTGAAACTACACTGATGTTAGAGCCCTTTTGAACAGAGGACATGACTGCTACCTATATGTTTTAAAAAGAAAAACCATGGGGCTTCAGACAGTAAGGTGCTCACAGTCATGGCCAGGGGCTAACTTCATCAAGATAATCGCTCAGGCATACTCAGCCTCTTGTCTTCTAGGTGAATCTAGATCCTGTCAAGTTGATAATCAAGGTTAACCGTCCTAGAAGTGAATCCCCAAATTATGTACTCTGAAAATTTCCTGCTACCCAGTGTTTTTTGAAATTATGACATGGAACTAGAAATCCACATGCTGTTAGACTCAGAAGACTATCTCATGTTTTCTCTTATGCAGAATCTAGATTATGCATATACATATAGTTATGTATATGTACACAAATACAAAGAAAAATGTATTATTGGAGAAGTGGGACTAAGGAACAGAGAGAACAAGAGAGGATAATGGGTGAGTGTGGGCACAGTGTATGTTATGCATGTAAAGATGCCATACTGAAACATATTGTTTTTGTATATTCGTTAAGAAGATGGGAAAGGGGCTAAGAGATGGCTCAGCTTGCTGCTCATCCAGAGACTCAAGTTAGGTTCCCAAGCACCCATGTCTGGTGGCTCACAACTGTCTTTATGTTACTCAAGTTCCATGAGGTCCAGCCCCCTTTTTTGGCCTCCGGTGGCACACATACACAAAATAAAAATCTTTAAAAAGATGAAAACAGTGGGGCTGGGGAGATGGCTCAGTGGTTAAGAACACTGGTTGTTCTTGCAGAAGACCCGGGTTCAAATCCCAGCACCCACATGGCAGCTAACAACTGTCCATAACTCCAGTCCCTAGGAGATTCGACAGCCTCTTCTGACCTCCTCGGGCACTGCACAACATGGGTGCACTTACCTACACGCAGGCAATACATGCATACACATAAAAATAAATAAATAAAAATTTTTAAAGATGAAAACAGCAAAAACTGATCATTGCTCATGAGTAAAATCCATGATACCTAGTGTTATAGAGGGCTGAATGATAACTCCACTTGAACTTGTCAGAATATAGCTGTGGGATTGTTTATACCATTCTATTTCTCTTCTCATGTTGAGATATATTTTCCCCTTGATCATCTTTTTAAATGTCAGTTTCATTTTAAGAAGTGGTTTCCTTGTTCTTTAATTTTCTCCTTTTACACTTTAGAGTACTGGTGAGGAATGTGTGGCAATGGCCTCCACTTGCTTAGTGTCTGCCATCTTCAAGGTGGGTCTCCAAATAGAAACTGACTATTCCATAGCATTGATAATTTGGATAATTCAATAGTAGACATATGCTAAGTGAATAAAAGGTACTTTTTATGCAACACAGCTTGTACATGCAAGCCAATGACCTCATCTGCTGCTCAACTAAAAGAACAGCAATGTATTCCAACCTTGGAGGTAAAATCAGCTTTATTGGGATTTTTTTTCCCCTTAGGGAACAATTTAAGAGATCTCGAAGACTAAGTTCAGTTATAACAAAGTTATGCCTGATAAGATGACTCTGTTACTGTAAGTGCAATTGGGTATACAATGTATACAAACAACTATTCTGTGAATCCCCAAGGAGTAAATGGGTAAGAAAATAAAGCTTAATTTGCCATAGAGAACTTTCACTTCTTTGGCATTTTTATTTATTTTTTCACAGTTTCACATACATGTGTGTGTGTAGGTGTGTAAGACTTTGACCATATTCCTCTTCATAGAGAACTTTCTAATGTACATCTTAAATATGGCATGGGCTACCTCAAGAGATAGAATACTCAGCCTGTGGAAGTAACAGATCAGAACCCTAAAAATTAATGCTGGATCATTTTAAAAGCACCCTTTTCTTGGATCTTTTTGTCAAGAAACGGTAGCCATCCTGACCAAAGTTGTAGCCAGTGGCCTGATACAGAATGACATTAACCAGTTCTTTACCAACTGGGAGAAATAAGACCAAATAAGTTAGTTAACCCAACTTTATGTAGTTTCTACAAAACCTGGAAGCACCCATTAAAATGCTTTTCTGGGAACTGAATGCAGCGCAGTAAAGTGCATGTGGAACACGTTCAAATATTTGATTCCCAGCAAAGAAAACAACACCACAACAAAAAACCTTTCCTGGGTCTCTTAGCTTTCAGTTTAATAGTAAAAATATAAAGTTGAACATTCTTGATAGTTGTCTGGAAGCTTCCAGCACTGGTGAATGTGATCTAGTTTGCATGTGAGAGATAGTGTTTCCCCCAAGGTGTATCCAACCTTGTGATACAGGAGTTCATGCCCAAGAATTGAAAAAAAAAAAAAGCATGCCTTTAATTACTGAGGCAGAGGTAGGCAGATCTCTGTGAGTTCAAGGCTAGCCTGGCAGCCTGGTCTCTATAGCGAGTTCCAGGCCTCGTTTATTTTTTGTGGTTTGCCACATTCATAACTGTGCAACCTGCAGGCTGTTGGTTAGACATTCCTACGTGCCTTCAACTTCTCTGGGGTCATGAGAGACCAGTTAGCCCAGAGCATACAAGACAACTACCACATGATTTGGAAAACTTCTACTGCTGTATGAGACTGAACTGATAACTGCAGATAAGCGCTGATGGTCACTGAAGTGATTTGAATGAGAAATGACCCCCATAGGCTCATGTATTTGAATACTTGGTCTCCAGTAGGTGTGTGGTGTGTGGAGCATTTATTGAATCTTTAGGAAGTGGAGCCTTGCTGGAGAAAATACATCACTAGGGTGGGGAGGGGTGTTAAGATTTTATAGCCTGGCCCCACTTCCTGTTCTGATATCTGAACTTCTGTTCCTCTACCAAAATGGCCACATTGAATAGATCTTTCTCTGCTTTGCACTCTTACCTGTCTCTAATTGATCTGTTGAGGATGGGTAGTGGAGCCTTGGGCCATGACTCCAGTAACAACACTACTTAATTCAGCATTAACCATGAGATTGAATCACAAGACTGTCAAAAACAACAAACAGACCTTGCCCCTGGCCTCCTAATCAGCCTGACACAGACCTGCCTATTACCTTGGTAAATCAGATCTCACCCACTGCACCTTGATTCTTCTGCAACCTGAACACCCTCACTCTCTCCCCAGCACTCTGTCCCAGTTCTAGCCTTGGGTGCAGTCTCACTCCTGCTTTCCCACCTCAGAACTCTAGACGGCTCTCTTAGTCCAGAACTGCCCACTGCAACCTGATCCCTTGCACCCAGACTAGGTTAATTCTCCATCTTTGTTTGTTAGACCCTCCACAAGCTTTCCCCACCTCCCTTCTTGCCCTGGGCACCTCTCCTGATCTGCCTATCCAGACCAGCCTACTACCTTGAGAGAACCTGAAGCACACATCAACTAACTTTTCATACCCAAGCAAAAAGCAACCAAGCTACATTAATATATATATATATATATCCTTGAAATAAACAAAGGCAGAATAGAATTTCCTATCTGACCATGCCCAAACACCAATGCAAAAACAATATAAAAAACCAAGAAAACATGTCCCCAACAAAACCTACCAGTCCTACAGAAGTGCACTACAATGAAAATCACCCTGAGGAACCCCATGATGCAGAATAAAAAAAAATGACCATGCCAAAGAATTAAAACACAGAGAAACAACTCAAGAACTCCAAGAGGATAGGTATAAACTGTTGATAAGAAAATACAAAGATGCAGCTGACTGAAATAACAAAAAGAATTCAGGACTTGAAAAGTAAATTCACAAAAGAGAGAAA